TTCAAAGGCGAGGTCCGCATATTTATCATGCTTTTCCTTAATCTTGCCAATCACATTGGTGTCAAAAGGGACAGAAAATTCAATAATATAAATAAATTCATTGGCTTTATCAAAAAGGACAAGATCAGGTTTGTTGGCAGGAATTCTTCTGAGGCTGTATATGGGCCTATTCCAGAGAAGTTTGAAAGCATCATTTTCCATGACGCCCTGGACATGTTCAGGGTCGTACCATGGATGGACCTCGGAGTCAAAGCCACAGGCATGTCGGAGACGGTAGTAAAAGCAACGAGCCATGCCATCATGCGTTTAAGATATGCTGTCTGTGCCAAGGAAGGGCATCCACTGACAAGGTGTTGGACAGTCTCTGTGAATTCATTGCAAAGTCGACATTTCATATTGATATTTTCTTTAAGAATCACATTTAGGCGATTGCGAGTGGGAAGTGACTGGTCCTGAGCAGCAAAAAGGAAGCCCTCAGTTTCACATTTAAGACCAGCCGACTTCATCCAGGCGAAGGAATCGGTGGGATTGCTATTCTGTTCAACACACTGCATGTACACACGATGCAATGGCTTCTCAGAAAGCTTCTCCACAAAAGACCGACTCTCGGCAGACTTGGTGAAGGACTTCACCTGGTTTACTCCCATCACTGTACTGTCCAGCAGTACATCGCCATCAACAAAATCAACCTCAAATCTCAGATTCTGTCCAACAACCTTGGCACGCTTAAAATAGCTGTGGAATTCCTTGTTTTCATCATGAGTCTTCACATGCATCACTAGAGGATCATCCGATAGATAAATATGTGCAAAAGTACACAATAAAATTCTATCATGAAGAGCCTCCACATTAATCAAACCCGACCTCCAGAATTGATTGGCATGTATAAACGGTTAAGAGAGGAACGAGGGTGGTGGGCTCTGTTATCAGACATGATCCTTCTGGTCAGACGGTCAAGACTCTGGATGTCTTGTTTTGTCCAATCAACTACTCCAAAGGAATAGGAAAGGACTGGCACAGCAAAAGTATTGGTGGCTTTGACCTTGTTTCGAGCATTTAGCTCTGAGCTCCAGATTTTCTTTAAACGAGATTTATACTCGGCCCGAAGTTTTTCTTGAATCTGGGCATTCTGGAGCTGGTCTCGAACTTGCATTCCAAGATAGGTGTAGGCCTGATCTTCCACAAGATGCTCAATAACTCCTCCCCCCTTGTAACTTGACCGATCCATCATTAGTTACCTTGCCACGTTTCAAATGAAGAGTATTACATTTGTCGAGTCCAAATGTCATGCCAATATCATTAGAAAAGGACTCGACAAGGAGAACATGCTCTTTCAAATTGGAATCTCCTTTGGCAAGGAGTTCGATGTCATCCATGTAAAGGAGATGAGTAAGAGGTGTTGGGGATCTGTGCTGAGGAGGTCCGGGATGGTAACCCTCCTCTGTATTGAGCAGAAAGCTCAAAGGATTTAGAGACAGACAAAAAAGCAAAGGACTAAAGGAATCCCCCTGAAATATTCCCCTTCTGATTGGAATAGATTCCGAAGTCTGCACCTGCCCTTGCGAGTACATCTCAAGTTGAGTCGACCAGCAACTCATTAAAGACTTGAGTAAATCAAGCAGTCGCTCAGGGAGGTCAATACAATGAAGAGACTTCAGAATCCATTCGTGAGGGACAGAGTCGTATGCTTTTTTGTAGTCAATCCAGCACATGGAGATGTTGCGGTGATATGTTTTAGCCTCTTCCAAAATCATTTTCTGTACAAGAAGTTGATCCTTGCACCCCCAACATCCCTTTCTTGCTCCCTTCTGCTCAATGTAAATTATATCATTTGAAGAGCAGTAAGATGACACGAGACTTGTTAAACACCCTGTGAAGATTTTATACTGAGTATTCAAACATGTGATAGGGCGGAAGTTTTTGGGATCAGTCAAGTCTCCTTTTTTGGGAAGAAGTATTGTGCGACCTTTGCAGAACCATGGAGGAACATCACCTGTGTCCACAAGAGAATTGAAACAGTGAAGTAATGGTGTTTGGACACAGGGGAACAGTTTCCAATACCGGTTTCGAATGCCATCAGGCCCTGGAGCTGTATTAGATTTGGACTTTTTGATTACACTTTTCAGGCAATCTGGTGAGATGTAACAGACAAACGACCTAGTTACTTTCTCATGCATTGCATGGTCATAATCACGGACCCATGGTGCCTCCAGGTTACAGTTGCCGGGTACAGACCACAACTGTTTCCAGAACCTTTCATTGGCATCCATGGGAGGCCGTTTATCCTGCTCACCATCACCGTTTGTTTTCAGTTGCCTGTAGAAGTGTTTTTCATTATTTCTAAAAAGTTTATTTTGTTTGATGAATTTATTTTTCTTTTCCCATTTTTTCTTTCTTTCAGTCCAAACCTTTATTTTTGCCTTCAGGGAATCGACAATTTGGAGAAGTATCTTTTCTTTCGTTGTTTTGTATTTCAGTTTCAATTTTCTCCAAATTGCCTTTTGTCGTTTAGACATAGAATTCCCTGATGATCTTAACTTCAGGCAAAGCTCTATCCAGGAAATGTATTTTCTAGTTTCTGTTAGTTTCACTTGAAACCGGTTTTTCTTTGGTGTATTGCTCTTAGTATTGGATGTGTTTTCTTTGGAAACCGTGTGAAGTTCCTCCAAGGTTCGAGCGGCAGCATAGACACAACAATTAACTTCATGTAATGAACAGTCCGCAGAAAGTTTCATAGAAATAATGTCATTTAATAAATTAATTTCATTTTTGGGAAAAGATTCACTTGTTTGCTTGATTGGCCTCCGTTTTTCTAAAGGTAAATCAGATATTTCATCATAAATAGAATCAAACAAAATATACACAGGAGTTTCGGAAAGATCTGCAACTGAGGAAGAGGAAGAGTGAGGGTCCGAATTTTCGGGGCCAATTGGCTCTATACCAGAAGAGGAAAGAGGTTGACACGGACATCCATTAGAAGTTTTGGGTCTGCTGCCACTTGAGCATTCTGCTCATGCAAAGGTTCCTGACGGGCACCAGTTGTGGGTTGAACTGGCTCACGGCGCATGAGATTTTTAAGACGCCGGAATTGGTCGCGGAGATTTTGCTCCGTCAGGTAAGCATACATGGGCATGGCATTGTCCCAATGCAACTTAAGCGACTTGCCGTTTATCCGTGGATTATCAGGCCATCCTGTCGCTTTCGCACACTCTAGTAGTGTGGATTTTAGATGGTTTGACCAAGATATTCTTGGTCGGGTTCTGTGCCTTCCCCTGGGGCAAGTCCCATCTCCAGTAAGGTTGGTTTGACTACCGGAGGAAGACTGACTGGGCTGCGGAAGTGAAAGACTATACTCTTCTTGGCTGTTAGTAACCCAGTGAAAAACCAGCTTCGGGGGGTCAGCCCTAACTGGGTGATGTACGTTTGGTTCAGGGAATATAATTCCCCTATCTAGGCCCACCACGGAGAGGCGTACATCATCAGGCCCTGTTATTATTATTATTATTATTATATAGGATGTTTATATAGCGCACATATCCAGGCAACTAGTGCTTGCTCAAGGCGCTGGTATTTTTCCCTCGATCATTGGATGTCAATCTCAACGGCACATCGTATTAATCAATCTCAACTCCCTGGGGAGTATACAACTCTTGCAGCCACTAGGCGCACCGAGTTATTGTGGCTTTCTCATCCTAACGAGGTACCCATTCACAGCTGGGTGGACTGGGACACATGTGGCAGACTCAAATATATATATATATGTACATAGGTTTTAGTTAGGAAGAATATATTAGGTATCAAGATGGATGGCATTGTTTCCACTTAATGACTCACTCTATTAAACAATAAGAACACCTGTAAGAATCTTAGTTATGTTTTATACTTTATTTTACTCTTAGTCCATAGCACCGCATAGTAAGCCTTGTAACTCTCAGTCTAACCGCCACTAATTGTCACACTGCATGCTTTCAACACTCTTTGCTCCAGCTCTCAGTCATTTCTGTTGTTTTACTGATAGGCCAAGCTGGCCACAGCTTAACTACAATGTTCAGATTTTAAACTCAGATGCCGTCTTGTACTGTTGAAGGAAAGATATAGTCAGAGTCATTGGAATTTTATGGCGATTTAAGATCTGTGAGTGTGATCATTCAGAAGAATATCCTCCATTATGATCAGCTTGGGTACAACCAGACAAGAGTCTGCACACAACTTGACTCCAAGGTTTTTACACTCGGTCACAGGTGGGCTCTATCCCGACACCTCAACCTCGCTGGATCACTAGCCTGGCGCCTTAGCCAGCTCGCCCACCGCGCCATATTATCTTGCATTATAGCAATGAATAATGATGACAGTAAATTATTATAAAACTTCTTAAACATATCAGCACGGATATCTGTAGAGAGGTTACATTTCACAAGAAAGTGAAATTCATCCTCAATCTCGCCAAGATCACAACATTTGCAAATTCGTTCCTGGAGAGGAATAGGGGGACGACTGAATCTTCCTTGTTCGGTTTCAAGAGTTAAATTGAGATGATTTAAGTTTTTGTCATGATACTTATGAACATACTTTCATTTATTCACAACCTACTAAATATTAAAAACGTGTATTTTGAGCAAAAGTAAAAATTCTTGCCCATCGGACAAATATTTTTCGCCCATGGGCGAGATTTTTTAATAACGCTCTAAATTAGTCGAATTAAGTTAAAATGAGTTGAATTTTGTGTCAAGATACTTATAAACATATATTCATGCATTTCCAACCTCAAAAACATTAAACATAGGCGAGCGAGTTTAAATTTTGAGTCTTCGAAAAAAACCATTTCTTCATTTTTTCATCCTTAGCATTTATTCATAACAACTGCATGTTTAATTCTGTCAAATCCCTTGTCAGAAATCCCTGGCCACAGGGCGGGGAGTCTCTAGACTTTGGGGTATCCAGAACCAAATTGTGACGTGTTATACAATGGAAGAAGCAAAACTTTAGAATCGTATATTTACCTGAAATACCAGTTCCTGATGTTGTTGCTGTTGTGTTAGCGGTGACGTCATCCTTACTGAGGTACCCGAGGCCTCCGTGTGCTCTTTTCTAGCAGTTCCTGTCCCCGTATGATTGGGTCCGGTATGGAGTTTCTGTCCTGCGTCCACAAACACTGAACCTGAAAGAGGAAGTGACAAGCACCAAAATTTACTACAAGTTAGTTTTTAACAGACACAGAAATGCCATCTCATCGAAACCCTTATATGGACTCATTGGGAGCAAAACAAAGTCAGACACTCACAACATAATAACCACAAACACACGCACGCACACACATACGCAGAGCGCACACTGCGTATGTAATTCACAAATTACGGACATACTACACCCATACTACGTACACTCATGTGCGCGCGCACTCCTTGAAAGTCTGGGTTGTTTGTCCATTACTCCACTAGTGGCATGTCAAATCGTTCTTCTCCTCCATTACCCCTGCCGGTTTCCGGTTCACAGTTTGCCTGTGATTTTGGGGACGTAACGTTTTACACTGAAGCATTTAATTAGTACGAGATGAGGAAATACCAAACTCTCATTTCAGGTCAAAGGTGAGCTCGTGCAGTCAGGCGCGTAGCAAGCCAAATGTTTCGTGAAAGCCCGATAGGTTGCAAAGCTATCTATTTAGATAGTATTGAGGACTTGCCCAACCTTAATAGCAACAATCATGTGTAAGCCCGGGCGTTTTTCATAATGGTAGCTACGCCCCTGGCAGTACATGCGGTTTCACCTATGCTACCACTATGCCCCTGGCAGTACATGCGGTTTCATACTATGCCCCTGGCAGTACATGCCCACTATGCCCTGGCATGCTACACTATGCCCCTGGCAGTACATGCGGTTTCGCCTATGCTATCACTATGCCCCTGGCAGTACATGCGGTTTCACCTATGCTGTCACTCAATGCTACCTGACGACCCATTCAACAGTGGGTGTAAACGTTGGTACATTGTATTTGGATTTATCGAATGGCTTCTTAAAAGTCTGAACTTGCAGAAATAACCCAAGAACTTTCTGATATCTAACATGCTTTGTCAGAAATAGGGCTGCGCAATATAACCGGTTTACCGGTATTTACCGGTTCAGACCTGAAAACGATACGTATTGCGATACGCTGATCGAAAACCGGTATTTTGACATGCATTCGGAAAACTTCGTAACACTCGGAAATCTTCGGATATTTCCGTTTTTTGAATTGTTCTTTTCCCTGTTTCATTAGTGCCAAATGTTACTTACATTTTTATTTTGTCATGATTAAAAGTTTTTATAAACGGTTAATCAATCATAGTGATTTTGTTGTGTTTTTGCTTATAATCAAGCATTAACTCGATTATAAGTAGTTTTTGTTAAAAAAATAATCCTTGCAATATATTGCAATACATATCGCAATATATGCTTCCGCATCGCAATATATCGCAATATGAAAATTCTCTGCAATACCCACCCCTAGTCAGAAATCCCGAGAAAGTCGGATTTAGAGGAAGTAATTACTTCACAGCTGTACAGCCGATAAGAAACACGTCAAGGCAGAACTAAAAGGTGAGCTCATTGATGAACTCGGAATTGCCAAACTTCGTAGCGAAATTTCCGACTTAAAAACTGAAAATGACAAGCTGTCTGTATTACCTAAAGGTCACATGCAACCAAAAAATCAAACATAATTAAAACACAATTATCACTTATTCATGACATATAATATACATTGCTGGTTATGAAAAAACATATAAACAAAATTATAAGCGTACAATCGCAAATCAAAAGTGCAATATTGTGTACTTGGGTTTACTTCCCAAGAAACGAAGCAGCCGGGATACCGAACCCAGTCAGAGCGGGTGTGTGTACTCAAGTGTAACGGCTGGTTCATTTGCAGATGCCCTCACGGCTCATTGTGTGTGTATATATAGAGAGATGTTGGGTTTTGTAAATACATGCTCATTTTTTATGTATAACATTTTGCAATCAACAGACATCATAACATGTCATGTGTTCAAGTATCACACCTCTCTGCCTGTGTAATTACATAATGTGACAGAGACCGAACTCGGGCCATAAATCAATGCGTTTTGTTTATGGTGTATAGCCTGATTGGTGTTAAGTTCAAATTGCATGTGGTCAGTGATCGCAGTTGTGTATTGAATATTGTCATTAGCAGACAGGCAGGCAGACACACAGGTGTCAATAAAACAAGACATTGAGTTTTGTCTGAGACAACGACATATCTATATCACAGTTAGAAATTCTGTCAACGCTAAAAAATGACATTGCTTTTAAGTATCGAACTGAGAAAGTGACTCGGTAAGAAGAACGTGTGGTGAAATAGACAAATGAAATTATCTAAACAGTTTCTTTACTGTCATAACATATAAAATGCTCGCACCTGTGAGATATCAACAAAACATTAGGAAAATAGCTCACACCAAAACCTTCACCGAGTATTCACCGGAGCCCGCTTCCAAGTTGCGCGAACCTATTTCACTGCGCACGTGCTATGAGCGCAGCCCAGCTGTTGAAACCAGTTTTCCCCCGAAAAGTCGGGGGAAAATTAGTGAATCGTTTGAACTCCGATTTCGCGCGGTTTTTTTCATCGCGTTATTATCAACTTTATAAGTTGAATTTGCATTTTTGATGATTTGTTTCGGTAAGTCCATACCGAAAGGTATCAGAATCTGCAAAGTTGTGTTTTACGTTGCATGTGACCTTTAATAACCAGCAGAAAGAAAATTCCGAATTAAGGCACTCTATGAACAATTAATCCACCATTCAAGTGCAGCATTCCGCCTGGCTAATAAAAACGAGCAATACTCGCGAGAAAATATCATTAAAGTGTTCAACTTTACGGAATCCAAAGATGAAGATTCGTTTGATACTTTCTCACGTGCTCAAAGAGAAAGGTGGCGATTCATCGCATTGATCATGCAGACAAAAGTATCACCAAACCTGTGGTAATAAAACTCATATCCCCAGAAGTGAAAATGAGAATAGTTAGGGCAAGGAAACAACTGAAAGAAAATATAGCTTTCAAGTTAGCAGATGACGTCATGCGAGCGAACGTGATGCTGAATGGGGCGATCGATGATATTTTGCACACGGCACCAGTAGTACTGCTGGCACTATGATACTAATAAGAATAATTTTGAGTATATTATTCATGAAAGTGTTCAAGGTACAAACGGACGCTTTATAATATTAGACATCACAATATAAAAAATCGATTTTCTGTGGTGAACGTTTATGGCCCAAATAGCGACTCCCCAAATTTCTTTGCACAGGTAGCGGAAACGCTAGAACAAGAACCAGGTGTCATTATCTGGGCTGGCGATTGGAATGTTGCTCAAGACTATTTGTTAGACACATTTACTTATAAACATAGGAATAACCAAATGGCGAATAAAAAGATATGCAATATAAAAGAAAAAATGGAATACTAAATCCGGATAAGTGTCAATATACGGAGAGACAAAATAGTAAATTAAAACAAGGTTTCTTAGATTATTTTCTTATCTCAAAAGAAATTATGTCTCTCGTCAAAAGTTGTTCAATATAATTTAGCTATAAATCGGATCACTCATTTATTACCCTCGAGTTAAAATTACTCCCAATTGAACGGGGCCCTGGATATTGGAAATTTAATTGATCTCTTCTTCGCGATCTAGACTACGCGCAATTTGTGAAACAGACTATAAATGATCCTATAGCGAATACAAGACAGCATATGTAACCGAGTTGAGCACCGCGCATGTCTACTAGTAAATGATCAGCTTTTATTTGAAATCATTAAGAATAGAATACGGTCTGAAACAATTACTTACTCGACGCAAAAAAGAAGAAAAGAAAAACAACACCGATAGTAAAAAAATTGTACAAGTAAGAAAAATTGACGAAATGGAAACAATTTATAACTCTTTAGGGAAAGATGAACTAGATATACTTCCAGATTATAGAGAAGCCTTAGAAACAATAAGAACAGAGGAATAAAAGGAGTTATTTTAAAAGTAAGGCTAAGTGGTATGAAGAAGGTGAAAAGAATAGTTCTATTACGGAATATTTCCTAAACCTTGAAAAGAGAAATTATATCAATATTAATATAACTGAAATAATCAACGACAGTAAGGAAATATTTACTGATAAAATACACATACTGAAGAAAGTTCTTCTTTTATGAAAACTTATATAAGAAGCATCAGGTTGATGATTGGGATACCAAAATTAACAAATTCACTGATATTGACGTACAACTAACACAAGAAGAAGCAATGTCACGTGAAGGTCCGATAACATTAGAAGAATGTGCCGAGGTTTTACAAACTATGAAAAACAGAAAGAGTCCTGGATCAGACGGTTTCACGGTCGAAGTTTATAAATATTTTTCGAAAGATTTCTGGCGATCTATCAATTATGGATATGGAAATAAAAGTCTCTCGGCGTTTTAATGCCAAGGCATCATTACTTGAATACCAATGGAAGGTAGGGACTGCAGATACCTAAAAATTGGCCCCCAATAAACTTATTAAACGTAGACTACAAAATCGCGTCCGGCGCAATTGCTCGTAGAATTAAAACTGGTTTTATGAAAGGCAGATTTATCGGAGAAAACACAGGAATATTGTACGATTTGATAAATCACTGTGAAGTACATAAACTCCCCGGACTTATAGTCACGGTTGATTTTGAAAAGGCATTTGACTCTTTAGAATGGGAATTTACATGCATTTAATTTTGGCCCCTCCGTTAGAAATTGGGTTCGACTTTTCACTCAAAATAGTCGTAGTGCTATAATAAAGATATTTCCAATTTTTTTCAGTCTGGGTTGGGATATCGACGGAGAGACCCTTTATCGCCTGACCTATTCATAATATGTGCAGAATTGCTTGCTATTTCTATTAAACGTAGCAAAAATATAACCGGGATTAATGTGAAAGGAGTAGAATATTCTCTTTTCAATTATGTAGATGATACAAATTTATCAGAACAGAACAAAGTCATGAAGACTCATAAAGAATTCGCTATTTGCTTATGGGTTAAAGGTCAATTATGACAAAAGTTCAGCTGTTTGGATTGGATCCGAAACCGGTTCGTCTGATAAACTGTCGCCTCATATACCTCCTTATTGGTCCAAAGAACCCT